AACCTCCCAAACGTCATGCGCTCCAAGGAGTGCCTTCATCTTGATACTCCAATTGTCGTAGATGCTTTCCTTAAGCATCAGGACTTGGAACGAAACCATGTCACCATTTGTCATTGCTCTGTAATGGAACTTTTAGGCTCTGATACCACTTTGTTGGAATGAGGAAGCTTTTAGGAAGTGACAAAGGCTAAGAATAACTTATGGAATAAACTTCACTCTTATTTATCACATTTACTTGGCTTGATACAAACTCAAAGACTCCACCTCTATTTATACTAGTGGCACCTCCTAAATTAATGGCTATGATTGTGCCACTACAATTACAATCCAATGGTTACAAACAATTCCACACCTACCACACCTACCACACCTACTACACAATAATTTAATATCTACCACATATTCTAGAATAAGTTTCTAGAAATTAAGCCTTATTTAAACAACTAAAACCAAGTTTATATTTCAACAAGGTAGACCTAGGAAGACTTGGGCTTATTGTATTAAAAATGATCTTAATTTACTAAACTAAATGAAAACATGATACTAAATAGGACGCAATGGAGAAAAAGGATTCATGTAGCCGACCCCACGTAGTGGGATTAAGGACATTTTTTTTAAAGTAATTTGTATCAACCCCTCATAATCAAATACTCATTTTATTGTTGTTGTTGTTGTTGTACATTTTTTTTTAAGTAATTTGTATCAACCCCTCATAATCAAATACTCAGTCTATCATGGAGCAGGACCATATCCACCGAGGGCATCAGCGAGGAGATTCTCCAGCGATAGTCGGCACGGCACAATCGCCACAGGTTCGACTACAACTTCGCCGCCGACTACTCTTCACCTCTCGCCAGCCAACAAGCCTCCCACCCTTACGACCAGCCCGAGGTTGCTTCCGCCTCTGCTTTCTTTTCTTTTGATGCAGACGCTATTTCAATGGTGGCTGCTATTTGCTATTCGTGGTTGTTGGAGAATATGAGGGAGAGGGATAAGACTCGTATCAAGGATGAGGTTGTGGTGCCGGTGATCAACATGAGGAGAGCAAGGATGTGGGAGCACAAGCAAGCAGCTTGGCTGTTTCATCACATTGGAATCGATGCTTCTGCCTTGATGCTTTGATCGTCTCAGAGGAGGTCCTAAAATTTTGTACCTATTTCCCAAATTTGCTTTTCTTAATGGAAGTTATTCTTTGCATTCTGCTATGGCGGGGAAGATTGAGGAAGTTGGGCTGTCGTATGACACACTATTTGAATTACTTTTGATAATGCTATCATCTGAAATCTTCTTTTAAATGTGCAACAGCTAGATTTGGAGGGTCTTTTAATGGGCAAGCAGTTAAATTTACTTATTGTGGGACATGATGTTTTGCAAACAATGGCGAGGTAATTATTAAATTCTTACTTTCTAAGAGGATATATATGTTATCTTTTGCTTTAGTTATACTTTTTCTGCCCCTTTCGGGGTCTTTTTTCTGCCCCTTTGGGGGTCTTTGTGTACAGTTCTAACCGATAACTACTGTGAAGATGCCTATGATCTACTTCGGTCTCTCAATATAAAAAAACTTCTTGTATGTGTCCATTGTTATAGCTTCATAGCTAAATAGTTATACTGCATGCAGCTTGCAGGAATTCTATTAGATACTCAAAATCTTAGTTTTGCTGCCAAATCATCTACAAATAGGGATGCTGAAGCTGTGCAATTGCTCTTGGTTGGCTCTTCTCCTGATTACAAAGATTTTTTATTTGAGCAAGGTGCGCCTTTTTATGTGAGAAATAAAATTGCTGTTTAGAATTTTGGCTTGTGTATTGATAACATGATTTCTATGTTGTTAACAGTTATGAAAGAACGTGGAGAAGATTCTTTTCTTGAATCTTTGAGACAAAATTATGGTAAACTTCCTGCTTACGCATCATCACACATAAAATGTTTTAAAACCAATATATATATATATATATATTCATCTATTTATTTATTCATATGATTCTGCGCATATATGAGTGTGTGTATAAAATGAGACTTTATCTTTTAAGGGACCAAAAATTAATTAAATTTAAATTGAATTTTGGCTTTAATCAAATAAATGCTAAATCAAACTCAGAGGCTTAAATCAAATAAATGCTAAATCAAACTCAGATTAGAGTTAATGAGCAATTTTAGGATCGAATTGAGATCTCAGATCGAGCCAACATATTAGAAGATTTGGCTTTGTTAGAGATTAAATTGAAGGTTTTTTATTTATTTTTGAGTAAAGGTTAGATTAACTTGAGATTAAATCATTAATAGATCAAGACTTCAAACACACATTTTGTGTGTTAAAATAAGTCATACAATGGCACACTGTGGCGCGAATATTTTACTCCCTTATGCCTGATACGCCTTTATGCTATCCGAACTAGTGGATTTGCAGAAGAAAACCTGGCTTTTTCCTCATTGAACAGTTTATCGTTTTCTCTTTTTCCAGCAATAAAATTTTGGGATGATTGCATACATAGCATCTTAAACATTACTATCTAGAAAGATCACCTTGACCAATGTATTTATGTGTGACGTGATCAAATCATTAAAAATTTGATAAAAATAAAATATGTGTCGGGGTTTTATTGTGAATTTTGATATTGGTCTTGACCAATGTATTTATGTGTGACGCGATCAAATCATTAAAAATTTGATAAAAATAAAGCATGTGTCGGGGTTTTATTGTGAATTTTGATATTGGTGCGAGAATTTTGTTGTGACATGTAAGATTTATTGTTTTTAAAATACTACTATGAGAAAAAAGTTCTATGGTTTTTTAAAGGAGGATTTACATACATACCACTTAATTCCTATGTATTTACATACCTAACACCTAAACTTTAAATTTTACACATTCATACGGCACCTTTCTTAGGCTTGATAGGGTTTGCTTCACTTTATAAATGTTAAAATACTGATAATTTTGATGTGATATGAAAGATCTGGGTGGTATAAATATAAAATGTAAAAGTTTTGGAGTTAGGTATGGAAATATATAAGAATTGGGTGGTATGTTTGCATGTACATGGTAAGATGAGACCGTTATTTATATTTGCTAAGTCGGTATTATCAGTGCTCAATCTAAACTACAGTTTATAAAACAAACCGCATAATGTCTTTTCAACATTTCTCTCTTACAGTGAAGCCGAAGCCCTTCGCTGGTCCAGACGTAGGACGAGCAACAGAGCAGCCAACTTTAGCTCTACCTCCAGCTCCTTTCAAGTCTCCGGAAAGATCTTCTCGGGTTAATAAGAACAGATTCACTTTGGACAAATTGTTTAATTTTTCTTTATAATGATTAAATACCTTGCTAATAAAGTGCGGCATTTCTCATCTTTACCATCTCTGCCAGTTTTCAGGCAATGTAGTGGCATGGTGATTTGATGCTTTCCCTTGTCAGTTTAAGCCCTTATAACACGGAAAAAAATTGCGTACGTTAAGGGGTATGCAGAGATGCGTACATAATAGGGTACACGGGGTTTATACCGGGATTACAAAGGGGGTTATAACCCGTTGTACCTCCCGTGTAACTCCCATGTAACCTCCCGTGTAACCCCATTGTAACCTTGTAATCTCAATGGATAAAATAAAAGCGCGGGTTACAGCCGAGTTACACGAAAGTTACAAAGAAGTTATAACACGCTTGTAACCCCCATATAACTCTAATATAACGCCCGTGTACCATATGTACGCATCTCTGCGTACCCCTTGACGTACGCAAATTTTTTCCTTGTAACACTTGTGAAATGAATAAAACTTTTGATTTTATTAGGAATTGGGTGTTATGTATGTAAATGCACCTAAATACTAATAAATGGCAGAATAGTTCAATGAAATGACTTGGACAACAATTAGTTATAAGAGTTCGGAATCCCTTCTTTAGGGCTCTCCATCAAAGTGCAACTTGTTATTCTCTCTATGACCACCATTTTAAATTATAATCTAATGGAAATTTATATAGATACCACATAATCCTTATATATTTATATATTTAACACCTGAAATTTGATATTTATATTTATAACATTTGGGTGTTATAAGCCTATGCATGAAAAGTTGCATTTCACTTTTATGAAATTAGTGAAAGTGATGTTTTTAATGTGCCTTCAAATATTTGGGTTTAAACATGAAAATTTAGATGTTAGATATATGAATATATAAATTTGTGTGGCATGTATGTTAATGTTCCTAATTTAGTTCACTTAAATTTAAGAGATCTTTATCAATTGTTATGAAGAGAACTTTAGGTGAGAGATAAATATATTTGGAAACAATAATTAAAACAATATGAGGTGGGGAACTTGAAAAAAATATATTTTTCCATTATTTTAAGCAAACAAATTTATTAAGATATATTTTAAAAATTTTAATGGTAATATATTGTCTGTTTAAGATCAACATGGGTCTGCCCATTGAGATTGGATGCTAGATGTCATTTGAGATTGATAATCTACTTAATTTATGATATTCTCACTTGAAGATTTACCATATGATCCATAATGAGGGAAGATTTTGAGACCATGCTAATTTCTTAGCTCTATTAATGCAATATACAAGCCAAATAAGTTCAATCTTAATATGCATACAAGGCCAAAAAAAAATGCAAATTATTAGCTGGGATTAGCCCCGCACAAAATTAATTTATAATATGTTGAATTGGTTATAAGTTTGCATACATCAAAGCTTTACATTTTTTAGTGAAATTTTATTTGAATATATACATATTTATATCAATGAGCTCTCAATACCTAAATTTATAATTGATTGACATTCAGTTAAAATAGTCTTGTTTTTATAAAAAATGAAAGATAATTGTATTAAATTTTAAATTTTCAAGCAGTGCAAAATTTTTTTTTAAATAGATCCTATGTCCTAAAAATATAAAATCACTCATAAATATGCATTTAATCATATTTGCATGAAAATCAAAAAATTTAAAATGGTTATCCCTAAAAGGCTAGAAGCCATAAATAAACATTCTAAAGCTCCTAAAACATACAAACTAGAAGTTATCTTAGAAATGTTGATTTAAGTTGAAAGAATAAGAGAGGTGGACATAGTGAATTTGAAAGCATCAATGGAAAATCTATTGATTAATAAGACATTCTTTATGTAAGAAGATCAAAATAGAGGAATGCTAAGATTTATAAGTGACCCAAGGGAGAGATGTTGTTGACATGGTGAGATAGCTAGCTAAGGCTCCAAGTATTGCACCTTTGAAAAAAAATGAGGAGATTAAGTTTCAAATGAAATATAATTTTAGCATAATTAATGTCTAGAGGAGCTTCTATTAGAAATCTAATAGAATTTAAATTGGAAATTTTTCGATGAAAACTTTGATGGTTTTTAACTAATTATTTTCTTGAAGTGAGTAAGAGTAAGGTTGTGCTTAAAAGTATATAAAATGCTTGTTTATAGCCTATAGAGATGACCGTTGAGGGTTTTGGCATTTCTAAATTTAATCGTAAACAAGCCCATAATTTCTAAGGATAACTTCTCATGATTGTGGTTTATCTAAACATAACTACAGTGTAAGTCTATAGTTTGTGGAGAAGATGGGTAAAGCTTTGCAAATAGGTGATGAACTTTATTTTTTTGGATTTCTCGGTGGATTCATAGAATCTTTAAAATTTAAACCGTATTCCTAAATGATCTAAATATGGGTTTAAAAAAAAAAAATTCAGGCAACAAAATTTAACCCATATCTTAAATATTTTCCCATTGTTATAAACAACTAGAAGGTAGATGTTTAAATTTGTCATAACTAAATTTGATTAGATGATGTCACCCATAACTTGATTTAGGAGACAAATTTGACTCAAGCTGACCCAATTGAGCATTGAGTTTTGATAATGGAGCAAATAATGTTGACTTCACTTGATGATTCAAATATATAATATTGTAGTCTAACAATTGGCCTAATTAAAATAGTTTCAGAAGCATTTCCTTAATTCCTCTTGATTGGGGACACTAAATAATTAGCATTTCCTTAATTCCTCTTGATTGGGGACACTCGATAATGGTGGACGATGACAATCTTTAACAATACAGCAGGTGATCAAAATAAATTATTAGTTGCATTTTAAATTAAATTTAATTATATATTAAATTATTTTTTCAACAAATCAAATATCTAAAATCAAACACCCATAATTTTTAAAAACTTTTCATTTCACTCTCATTTTTTAACAAATCAAATAGCCCAAAAAAAATATTACTTTTCATATCATTCAAAAGTTGAAGAAACTATAAATTTTTAATTTTTGATCAAGAATAAGATAATGTTATCTTTACTAAAAAAAATTAATAATAATAATGACGCTTGGCGCTTTGTTTTTGGTGCTCTGCGCCACTTTCGCTAATTCTATGCTTTATCAGTTGCGTTTATTATATTATGCTCATTAATGGTGCTCTGCACCAGACCTTCCGCATGAAACGAGGCGTCGATTTGGCTTCTTGATGTCGCTATATCGCCAATGAAGCCCTTTTTTCTCTACTGTTCTTACATATTTTTTTCTATCAGGAAGTTACAACATGGAAGGACAAATAATCTCAGTGGGGCAATGGGGTTTAGAAGAAGGAATTCCCTTTGGCCAGAAGTATGATGGTATACTACGAAAGCTTACATTGACCTATGACGGGGGCTTCAAGGGCCTTACTGCAAAGTATTCAACATCAAACACTCATGAATGCCATGAGTCTAATGGACTTTCGAAGGTATGTTAATGTCTTATTTTTCGCTCTTGCGGATAACTGGATAAGTGGGTTTGAACAAGCAGAGATTTTTAACTTATTGCATGCCTGTAATTTATTAACAGAAACTACAGAAAATACTCATTGAATCTCCTAAATCTTCAAATATTATAAAGAATGCTGATTTTAGAGAAGGAATGAATTTCTGGACGAAGAACTCTGATAGTTGTCAAGCCGAAGTAGTTTCTTCAGGTGATGATAACTATGCTATTGTGAGCAGCCGAGGAGATTCTTGGCATAGCATAGAGCAGGAAATTACCGCAGATGTTTATAAGGGTTCCATATATGAAGTTTCAGCCGATGTCTCAGTTATGGGCGGTGGCGGTAAGAAATTTGAGATGGGTGCTACACTCAAAGTCGAGAACATGGACGCTAGCATATATTATCTTTTTGTTGGAAGGTATTCATAGTTCATGGATGTTTCATCATAATCGTAATGTCCTTCTGTTATATTTTCATTACTTTGTTACTGGCTTCTAAATCATTTTTAATTGTAATTGTTGAGATTTACTAGTTGTATTAAATTAACTAAAGTGTATTAATAATGATTATTTAGCATTTTAGCGTTGTGCGAGAATCAAACAAGTACAATTGATCAGCGGAAGGTTCACGACAGGATAGTGATTATTTAATATTTTTGGATTGCACAAAGATTCAACACATACTTAGGTAATTAAACAAAAATAAGCAGAAGGTATTTAAAGAAAAATAAGGAGAATAATATACTTCAATATATACGTGAAAAACTGTAAAAATAAAAAAAAATCATGATGTGTCAGAGTTGAAATAATTAACCATGTAATTATGAGTACATGAGTCTGCTCTTCTAATGAGTTAGAAAATATGTAATTACAAAATGGATATATAGAGGTAGTTCAACTATAATAGCTATAGAAGACCACTAAGATCGTGATCGATGACCATGGAGGCAATAGCCTTATACAATGGTTGTAGTGTCAGTTTGTCGTAGTTGCAACTGTTAAATGCCGCGGTAATTTTTGACTATGTTGGTCATAAATTGTTGCTTTAGAAACGTTGATTGACAATAGATGTTGTAAAGAGTTGCAGGTGTCGTGAGCCGAGTCGAGTTGAATATATCATAGTTTGGACTTGGCCTTGTATACTTATAAGTTGTTTATGTTCGGCTTGAGCTTGTGTCGAGTTTTCATATCTTGGTCAAGCTCGACTTGATTTATGATAAGTAATCAAGTATTTAAAAGAACTAATAAACAAATTAAAAATTAAAACGAGTGTCTAGATTTTCATACGAAAATTTAAGAAAGAATTTTACAAATTTGATCACAGCAATTGAGTTATTGATTATAAACTTTAAACCCTAAATTATCTTAAATCTCATATCTCCTACATTGTCAAATTTCTCACTTAGGGGCTGTTTAGTGGAATAATTTTTGTAGCATATAAGCATAATTTAATCTAAATCCTACCGAACAATTAAAAATTATGGCAACCTTAAAACCTACATAAACTTAATATTGAGTATTTATATATCATATATGATATAATATATCATCGAGCTATCAACAAATGATTTAACAATTTAGTTAT